ACAACGTCGCGCGGTATGTAAATGTTATCCAAACACGCAGTTGTATTCCAACAGTCGGTATAAATTTAGATTTTCCCGCTGAAGGCTTCAGTTCTATCGATCCGGAATTCCAGTGCCGCTTCCTCCGCGCCTCGCCGTTCCTAGGGAATTATAACTGTACGTACATACGCGCACACGTAATATTTACCAGAGTTCGATTTATAAATAGTGGTATCGGAGAAAGAGAGAGAGAGAGAGAGATAGAGGAAGAAAGAGAGAGAGAGTTATATACAGGTCCATAGGATCTGTGGGATTTTCTACGACATCGCGTAAACTATTTCCAAACTTCTCCTTTTAAGGTTACGCCAAGAATGCCTCTTTGAAGCACGCATGATGACATTCTCTCGGTCCATAGACGTTACTCGCTATGGATAAAGCACAGTGAAGCTATAAACTACGTTAATTTATAGATACTTTTATTGTTATTGTACTGTCGAATCTTTGCCCTCATATTTTAAGCAAATTTAGCATTAACTCCATTACTTGTCATTCACCGTGAAATGTAAGCAATAAAAACGATAAAACTGTATGTAATAAAGCTACGTAAATTTATAAATACTGTTATCGTATTTTCGAGTCTTTGACCTAGCTGTTCTGCTAGTGACCGAATTAATAGTTCGTTTATCGACGGTTCGTAAGTGGTACGCCAGGAATGTCTCTTTGAAGCTAGCTCAATAACATTCTCTCTTTACCTAGCCACCACTCGCCCTAAAAAGACAACAATAAAACTTAGAAAGATAAAAAAAGGCTTGAAAGATAAACAATTTGTCGATACACCTGGTAATATCGTGTTTTCGAATCTCCGGCTATTCTCTGGGCAATTTCGCAGATGACTGAATTAATTGTTCGTTAATCGACGATCCGCAAGTTGGTGAAAGCCCTCGACTTCGTGTATTACGCGTGTATCTAGTAACCGGCAATCAGCGTTTTTCAATCGATCGACTGTACCCGTGTAACCAACCCGCTGATCGGTTAATAAACGTCGATTGCCACTTAGCCGCGGCACGAGTGTATAGCACACAAGCCAGCCATCGTTCGAGTAGTATAGGCTCGCGCGAGTCAGACTCGAGAAGTGAAAGACCGCTGTGGAATGGCGCATATGTATTACCATCCATAAGTCACTGTATGCTTATTTGAATGTAATTTTTGCTAAAATAAATTTAGCATTCGTCATATAACATATAGCATATTTAAAACGATACGAAGTCAAAATATTTTACAAATTACGCTATCATATATTACGTTATCGTATCTTCAAGCTTGATTAATCAACAGAGAAGTATATTATAATTATTATAATAATTAATTTACGACTTTAATATATGTGTCTATATATCTTCCACGTATCTTTTCGCTATTTGGCACAAAAATTTTTACCAAATAAAGATACAAAATACTTGAATGCATTTTTAAATTGGCAATACTAAAATCTCTTGTTATATTTGGAGAAATCACGCATTCAAGGGTTAAAGAAAGTGTGAACGAATTTTCTACAACGTAACAATTCCAACGTTTGTTCTTTCCTATTCTAAATATATCAAGCATCCCGGAACTTTTGCTCAATACTGTACACGCATACCATAGCGCCGCGCTCCTACCTCGCCAGGAAACTCTCGAAACTTCGATGTCTTTGGTCTTTCGCTGGTCGATAATTATTTCTCAATTTCCTCCAGTTATATTTACCTTCGTTTTCCCTGAGAACAGCCCTCATCATCCAGCGAAATTTCAATCGGACCGAAGAAGCAATCAGCCGACGAAAACTCGAGAGTTTCTGAAGAATGCGAATGATAAACGCAGAGAGAGCCCCGAGGATACTCGGTTACCGGTGAATTATGCGAGGGGAAATCGGTCGCCAGTTATCTGCAGCTCGCAGTCGGCTAGATTTCCTTCAAACGCGCTAGTTTTCCATCTCGAGATGGCGCGGCTGGGGTCGTTTCTCGGCGAACGCTCCACGCTGTTCTCTCGCATTCTTTGCATAATTAACTTTCTCAAGGGCTCCTCAAAGGTGTCCTCGGTTGGCAACATGGCGTTTAGTTGACACGATAGGACGGTTAGTCGCGAGTCCTCCCGACAGTCAATTCCCGCGTGGCCGTTGACGAGAGCTGAGGAAACAAAGGGAGCGAAGCTAGTAGCCAGCTTTGCATAATGAATACCCGTTTCTCGACTATCCTCTTCTTCTCTCCGATTCGTCTCGTGCTACGTAATTAGTCACGTGCCTCTCTCTCTCTCTCTCTCTTTCGTCGACCTCCAACGTCGCCTTCTAAATCTGCCGGAACTTTTTATCGAATCCACGCCAATCGAAGACGTTCGACGTTTTTCGTATTTGCGAGTTTGATTAATCGATGATAAATGGCTCGAGTTGAATACTGTTCAATCTGATTAGCATTTCGTTGGAATATGATCAGAAAGATATAAAAATACAAAACTATTGCTGTTTCTATATGAAACTATATGATGTTTTTGAAAGTCTTTTTTATGTCAGTGAAATTCTGTTTAAAACATTTTCTTGTTAATCATCAGGATCATTTCAAATAGTCAGATTTATAGAGATGTACAAGTCACGCATCAATCACTACTAGAATTTTTGTCAAGCAGAAATCATTCGTTGTTGATATTGGAGAAGATAGCAATCTTCCGTTTATTGTTGAAAGCATATGATCGTTTATAGAGGTGTAAGAGAGACGTAAACTGAAGTGAACATAAGAAATACGATCAGTGTTCTTGTGGACGAAAAGTTTATAACTCTTTTGCTTAAATTCTTAATTCCTAGTGACATTTGGAGCTCGTCTTTGTGGAAAATTCACTAGTTGCTACTGTGAAAAACGACGACTTTACGGACTCGTTCATTCACGCTCCTTTCCATTAATTGTTTCGTTAATTCGAAGATCGCTGCTTAAGAAGACCACTCCGCCAGTGTGGAAACGGTATACCAGTCCTTATTTCGGATGGGGAAGCATTCGTAAACCGGAGGCAGGTACTCGAAACAAAGCGCAGTTAATGAAACGTAAAAAAGGATGCGTGCAATTTCTGCTTTGAACACGACAATATCTCGAGTAAATGGTTTTCGCCGAGAGAATGGATTTTAATAGTCAGCAACAATTTTTTATGATCTTTAACTGTTTGAACTTTTAAGCTTTTCAACACCCAAGTTTTAAGTTGAAATTTCCAAACGTTCAAATTCACGCCTACTTGCAGCATTTCCAATTTTCAAATTCTTAGATGTTGAAATCGTTTAATTGACTAAATTCTCAGCAATCGGTCATTTTTAATTTGCACTAGCTACTCATTTTTAATTTAAGAATGGTGTCCAATTCGAACAAGGGGACAACGCATTTCGCCGGCTATTCCCGTTTCGTTAATGATCAACAAGTTAATTTAACAGTCATGTTAACGACTACCAGATGCGATGTTGCGCCAATGAATTTTCTGTGCGGAAACTGTCTGAACTGTGTCATGTTATCTTGAAATTATGTTAACGTGTACCTTTATATGTATATAACAGGCGTACTCTGTATAATGTTCGTAACAGTATGGCACACGCTACACAGCTAAAATTCTATCTTACTCAGTATTCTAACTCACAACCATCGATCTCATTCCACCTCAAATGCAAAATCCTCGTACTAGCATGCGTTTCAATTAAGTTAGTCGTGACTGCTACTATAAAATATTTTCGGCTAGGTACCATTGCTACCAGTCAACCATTATAACTGCGATATCGCTAACGGTATTACGAGGAAGAAAGACAAAACATTCGAGATATATGTAAAATTCCATTGTACACACGTTTAAGGGACTTGTTCTAACAAAAATGAGACGATTGACAATACATGATACTTTCAAGCCTCGCGTGTTGCGATTTAACAAGCTTTCTAAAAATAAAATTGTACGATTAAAGATAGAATCTAAGATTAAGGATTAAAAATCTTTTTCTCGCTTGAAAACTAGGATATAAAAATTTCGAAGATCTCAGGAAGATTAATGTATCGAAACTATTGACACAATAATAAATACAATAACAACAACAACAATAAATCGTGAACGTTTTGTTTGTCTGTACTTGACAAAGATTTATTTACAAATTCCCACAAAATCTACGAAGATCGTCTCATTTTTATTTCGCCCAAAATATCCCTCAAACTATACACCAACGTATTTTACATCCTGTGCACTAGTCTATGGTGCCAGATCCCATATAGAAGTTCCCACAACTACGATCAGTGATTGTCAGAGAAGTGAAGAGACACTAGACAGAATCATGCGTTGAAAACCTGACGAATTTTCGCTGCGTTACGACGAATCTCGAACGATCTCGAATCGACAACGTATATCTGAGGGGGGAAAACGCACGATGGACTGCTGGAGCGATTTACCTCTTTTACCTGGGCTGACTTTGAACGGGGATCGGCGACCTGGACGGTCTCGTCGGGAGGCAGCCGCCAGGAGTTCCTCTC